TAGACAAGTACATTTGGAAACACCACTTATTCCCACTTCTTAGGATTTACAAGGCTTCTTGGGTGAGTCTGGGGCCTCCCCAAAACAGACGTGGAGACAGGAGTAGATGTGCAAGAGATTGATTGGGGGGATCGCCAATGAGATAAAAGGGGAGGAGCTAGAGAAGGCATGGAGAACCTTCAGACAAGGATGCAAGCCCCACCCCTGTGAAGGAGAGAAGGGGAAGGAGGGTTGCATATGAGGAGACTCCCACTGTGGTACAGTGGTAAGTGTTCAGGAGACTGTCCAGGAGACTTCCCTGTGAATCCTCTAAGGCAGATAGAGGAATACGTGAAGACAGCAGAGCCCTGGATGTACTTCTCAAAAAAAGCCACTGTGTTCCCCATTCTCATCTAAGACATACCCTAATGAAAGTTTTCCTTTATCATCCAGTTTCTTACACTAAAATGAATGTAAGAATGACAAAGAGAATGAACTTTTTACAATATGTGTATATCATTTACTCTTACCACTGATTGTGATTTTTCATTTTAAACTCATTTTATCCAAATGTACTTTGAAAAGCTTTATGCTTTGTATATTCCCTGAAATATCACTTTAGATTTGACTAAACTGAGGGCTAGTGATTGTAAAAAAATATTACCCATTCATTCAGTCATAATGAAGTATGATAGAATCTCTAGGATGAAGCCAGATGCTAGGAGGACAGGGATGAAAGGAGGGGAGACAGACAAGCAGCAGCCAGTGGGAGTGAGAGGCACCTACCCTGGGGCTGACAGGGAGGTGAGGCCAAAGGCTAGATCTGAAGAATCACGTTGGAGTTTGCCAAGCGGTGCAGTCAAGTGAGAAGTGTTTAGAGAGACAGATGAGTGTTTGCGAGTGAGTCAAGGGAAGGGGAACAAGGGCCAGTGGGGAACTAGAAGGGACAAGGCAGGGGTAACAAAGCAGAGGCTCTTCCTTCCAGGTAGGCAGGGCCTGGCTCATTCAAGAGCCTGCACCCCCCCTGCCCCCCCCCCCCATTTTATCCCAGTGGTGATGCAGCACTAAAGAATCAGATGCAGGAAAGAGATGCCATCGACTTCATTTCAGAAAGCCCTGGAAGCAGGCAAAAGGAAACTGAAGCGCCATGAGGAGGTTGCTACAGTGATGGGTGTGCATGAGAAATGACGGGGGCTGAGCCAAGGCAGAGACAGCACGAGGAGGGAGGGATTCAGGCGTTGGGGAAATAACCCCTATTATGTTTTATTTCTAGAAGACGTCCTAGTTTGACACATCATCTCAATGTTATGCACCTTTCCCAGCTCTTCTCTTGCCCTCAGTGTCAGAACTGCCACACTGAATTGTCCACTCCAAACAGAGGCGGTCAATCTTCCCACTTCACTGGCTCTTATTTGCAGGGGAGGAAAAGAGGAGAAATGAGGCTGAAATGAGATACCATCCCATTATTTTGAAGACCAAAATACGTATCACTCCCAGCTACTGGTTCTTCATCCTAAGAGTCTGCCATTCTCAGTAGAGAATTCAGTTCACAACTAACCTTCAAACTTTCTGCCCAAGCACCCTCAAGTTTAAGATACATAAAAAATAAAGTGAATTTTTGTTGGCATTTACTTTTTCATGCATTACAAACTTTCTACAGAGTTGGGCAGAATCTCAGATCATTGAAGCTGGTGTTTCCCAAGGGGTAACACAACCCACCCACACCCACACATCCACACACACACACATACACACACACACTTGGTGGACAAAGGGGCAGTGAGCACAGGTAGCCTGGGTGAACACCTGTCCTGGAAGGTAAATAGGACTGTGGGCACAGTCTCTCAACTTACCTGCCTCAGAAAACTTCACCTCTGGGTGGAAACTTCCATTTGCAGATCCTTTTTTGACTCATTTTAACTGATCTGATTTCCCATGACCTCCTTCCCACATCCCCTCTCCCTGCGCGTTTCCCCTGCCCCTCCTCATCGTTACTCTAGCTAATTGACTGTTGGCCATTCTGTTTTTTTAAGAATACCATCAATTGCTAACAAAAGACATTTTAGAAGTCAACAGTTAGCTTGCTGCCTAAAGCAAGCTCACACAAATCCTGTGAGACTGCAGGGAAGATCTTCCTGGAGTAATGGGGACATTAGGTTTTACGCACTGGGCCTTGCCCTGGAGCCGGGATGCTATAATAAATGGGGTCATGGCCAGAAGCGCTGAGGAGTGTCCCATCTGCCCGACCCCCCAATTCCCACCACCACCACCCCCCCCCGACCAATCTGGGCCCAAGGATCAGAAAGGCGAGGACACTCTCACATAAGTAGTGCGGGCTTCAATTTCAAGGTTTGAGTGGTACATTAGATTTACGTGTTTTCATTCCGGTGGTGAGAACTTAGGAGACAACGGAACCATTTGGGTGACCTGAGCTTCTCTCTTGGGGTCCTGATAATGCGTAGGCAAATGTTGCTCCTTTAGTCCTTTCTCATGGCCCATTTCAAAAAGGGCCCCTTGATTCACAGCCGTCTCTATGAGTCTTCAGAAAAGCCAGAGTCTGTCTGAAGCCACAGGCTTTCAAAAAGCCCACAGAGGCAAACAGAGGTGGCCCTCCCAGATCCACAGTCCTGCCTAGACCAGCTTCCTTTACTGGCTGATGGGCTGTGGGTAGGAGTGGGTCAAACAGAAAGATGGGGAAAAATCAAGAGAACAGATATGAGATGAGAACAGATATGTATGTTTACTTAAAACTATATAACAGTATAACCAGAATCCTAGTTGTCCACACGGATCATCTCAAAATTTAATGCTGCCTAAAACATGTATCACTGAAGAATCTGAAAGATAGTCAATATTCAGGAAATTTTAAAAACAAGCATTATTGTTTATGGACATGTTCCGTGAAATATAAAAACCATGGTCAACACTGAATTCAGGGAAGACAGAGAGTGGGATGGAGGGAGACACACCACAGGTTGTTGCTCTCTCTTTAGCCGGGTGGGAGGTACAGAGGTGACAGTCCTATTTGTATATTTTTAATAAAGTATTTCAGGGACACAAAAAAGTAATAGGAAAGGGAAGTCAAGTTGGAGACCACCTGTTTACAATCTGTCAATGTGTGTGTTGCAGGGTGGGAACGGGTTGTGTACAAACCGCCGGCCCGCAAGAACACGAGAGTTGTGGGTTGGGACTTCTATGGCCCGCAGCATGGTTTTGTGACCTAAAGTCAAGGTCAAATGTCAGATCCAACTTTAGAAACAAAAGCCTCTTTTGCAAAATAGCATAGAAAAACAGAGAATCTAGTACTGATACAGGTCCTAAATCCCTTTAGTGAAACTTATGCCATAAACCACAAAACCATTTAGAGAAATGTTGATTTCTTCAGTGGAATCAGAAATGGAGACACCTTGAGAATATTTATCTGCAGGAAAAAAAAAAAAAAGGCTACGCCAGACTCTTTTAAGGGCTTGTGGAAACTTTCAAAAAAAAAAAAAGTCTTCATAAAACATGTCAAATACGGCTGTATTTTTATACTTATAATTCCATTATGGTGCATGCGTGTGTGCTGTCGTGTCCGACTCTGTGACCCCGTGGACTTTAGCCTGCCAGGCTCTTTTGTCCATGGAATTTTCCAGGCAAGGATACTGAAGTGGGTTGCCATTTCCTACTTACTTGGAACAAACATTAGATTTGGAGTTAATATCATCTTCTCCCATTTTTCCACCTGGGTCTGATATTTTCTGTGTAAAGGAAATCTGTTGTTCTCGTTTCTGCAGAGCCGTGTGGGCTGAGCCCCTGGGCAGGCCTGGAGGCAGAACACAGCCAGAGGTTCCTGGACCTCCAGGCCTGCTGGCCCAGGGCTACTAAGCTGGAGATTAGCAACATTTCTATGCAATCCCCAGTAAGCACCACTCTCCCTCAAGGCCAAGTCTACTCTTGATTTTCCTTCCAATCTTTAAAAGAAAGTTAAAACGAGTGCATTTTTGCTCCAGTTTTCCCCATCCCATATACCATACTTGTGCTGAAAGGGACCATGTACGAATGTGTAGTGAGTTAACTGTAGGATCGTGAATAATTTGAGTTTCGGCTGTATTTAGCATGGATATCTTCCAAGGATGAACATGAGGAATTAGCTTAATTTTTTAAAAATTTTTATTTACTTATTTCTGGCTGTGCTGAATCTTCCTTGCTGCGCGGGCTTTTCTCTGGTTGTGGCGGGTGGAGACTACTCCTCGTTGCAGTGTGCAGGCTTCTCAGTGCAGTGGCTTCTCTTGTTGGGAAGCATGGGCTCTAGGCCGCACGGGCTTCAGTAGTTGCAGCTCGTGTGCTCTAGAGCGCAGGTTCAGTAGTTGTGGCACACGGGCTGAGTTGCTCCGAGGCATGTGAAATCTTCCTGGACCGTGGATTGAACCTGTATCCCTTGCACTGGCAGGCAGATGCTTAACCACTGGGCCACCAGGGAAGCCCAGGATTAGCTTACTTATTATGAGATCCCATTGTATGGTAAAATTTTCTTCTTCTACCTCTCCGAACATCTTCTAAAGCTGAATATATGCTTGATGGGTGACTAAATCAAAACTAGACACTGAAATAAAAGTCCTTTACAAAATAAGCATCATAACCCTCAGTTAGAATTAAGTTAGGTAAATTACCCCTCTGAGGTACCTGATAACAGTTATTCTTCAATCCACTGTCTTTACCCCCCAGGGCCTGACAGGGACACCAGAATAGATAGTGCTTGCTTAGTCCCTTCGCTAATCCGTCTAGGCTTGGCATTCACCCTTGCCAGTTTATGGAGAGCTACATGAGGAGTAAAAAGATAGGAAGAAAAACGTCTCAGGGTAGTGATTTACCAAACATGAAAATCTCTGGATTCCTCAGAACACTTAATCCTAACAGCATACCAGATTTATAAAACCAATGTAGAAGCACTCTTAAAATAGAAATGACATTTGTAATACTCTCAACTAAAATTCCAGGCAAGCGTGTCAGCCATAGTCAGCAGTAAATGAAGTCTAACACATGGTCAGAAGGCAGGTTTATTCTTTAGAAAGTACTAGACTATATTACAAGCTACTATGTCTAAGAGAACCTAAATACACTTACATTCTAAAAAGTATGTCACCTATATCGCAGCAACACTAGTTTGACGCAACCTGCAGAAAACCTGTAAAAATCACGACCAAGTCTGTTGATCAGGAGGTTAAATCCTGAAGGCGCTTCTGTTTTGAAACTCATTGCAGAGGAAGGACCGTGGGCGGCTCCATGAGAGACACGTGCATGTACCTGAAACAAGACCCATGGCAAGTTCAGCGTGAGCCGAGGACTTTGGTTTCATAAAATCTCACGTAGGCCCCAGAAAACCATCTGGTAGTTTTAACAGAAAGGAACGAGCTGGCTGATGAGATGTACTCTGGAGAGTGTTAGTTGCTCAGTTGTGTCTGACTCTTCGCGACCTCATAGACTGTAGCCCGCCAGGCTCCTCTGTCCATGGGGTTTTCTAGGCCAGAATACTGGAGTGGGTTGCCATTCCCTTCTCCAGGGGATCTTCCCAACCCAGGGATTGAACCCAGGTCTCCTGCATTGCAGGCAGATTCTTTACTGAGCCACCTGCTACTCTACAAGGTGACAAATTATAAATCTAGGCCCTGCCAAACTGATTTATTTTCTCGGTTTGACATGAGACCCTACTTTTCAGCCCAGCACCATATACAATTTGTTCTGTTTTTTAATTCTGAAATTACTATCACTTACTCAAGTTTTAAGTAGTGAGCCTAGATAAGAGAATTTCGGGAACTTACTTTGAAGCCTTGTACTTCTCCCTGATTGCTTGCTGAGGTCGATGGGGTATACTGAGGCAAGTTTTATGTAGCTCACTCAGGCAAGGCACGATTTCACTTAATGAATAGCCTGTAAATGTGGCGAGGGTTTCTGGCTAATCAAGACAAAAGAAGAAATTTGTATCAGAGAGCTTGGAGATCTCAATATATGATATCAGAAATCTGAAGATAAAACTGTGAACTGAAGGGAATTAATAGGTATACTTAGTAAGTATCCATGTTCATCTCAAAAGAAACCATAATCCTTATTCAGAGCCTTTAGGAATAAGATATTAGGAAGAACAATCAGAGTTCTAAATTTGCTCATATTGTACATTTAGGGGAAGTTTATTCTCTTATGAGCAGGATTTTTATCGGCCCCTGAAGAGCCTCAACTTACTTGAACACTCTATTTAAATAGAATATGGAAAGATTCTTAGCCAAATGCAGAATAAGAAATAAGAATTTTCGAAAATAAAAGTAGATGCCCTGCTCTCTTAGCACAAGAGTGAGCCTTCAGAACCAAATCTTAGGGGCCCATCTCTAATCCTGCCAGCTATCACGAGCCAAGAAGCAACAATAATTCCCTGTTCCCTTGAAAGCCTCATACAACCTCTGACCATCCTAACTGGACTGAGGTTCTTTTACATGGAGGGGAAGAGTCAACATCCTTTGCCTTGAAGTGGTCAGTGCTTACGCTACACGGGCACTCCCCACATAAGGGTAGGCACTGGGGTTTCCAGGCCAGCTCCCACTGAACAAGTGTGGCACCACCATCTCCTTGACTTCCTGCACCCTCTGCACCCCAGTGAGCTAAGCCACAGAGTCCAAGCCATGAACACTGACTAGCTACATGTTGTAATCTGGGGGGTTAGGCAACTAGTTCCCTATAAAACTAACTCTTCCTCCTAACAGGCCCACCAGTTTTAAGCCTTGAGTTACTAAATAGACTTTAGACAGGCCTTGAGGATCATCTTGTTGTTGTTGTTTAATCACTAAGTCTCTTTTGCAACCCCATGGATTGTAGCCTGCCAGGCTCCTCTGTCCATGGCATTTCCCAGGCAATAATACTGGAATGGGTTGCTATTTCCTTCTCCAAGGGATCTTTCCAACCCAGGGATTGAACCCACATTTCCTATGCTGCAGGATTCTTTATCACTGAGCCTCCTGGGAAGCCTAAGCATCATCTAGAAACAATCAGTTAGAATCTTACCCAGAAGTGCCTGTTTACAGTATAGTTTGCCAGGCAATAAGCAGCTGCAGCTATCAGTGAAGGAAGGTATTTCAAGAACGGGTCAGCTTCAAGGAGACTCAGTTCTGCTACGTACTAAGCACAAGAGAGAAAGTCTCATTGGAATTGGGAATCTGGCTAAGGTTCCAAGTAAGCCTAGAAATGTCAAGGGAACACACTGTCATCTCTGTTCAATGTGTATCTAGTGATAAGCACAGAAATAGATACTCAAAAGTATTCACTGAGTGAGTAATCACCATGCCTGTCCATAACCAGAATAATATCTATGTTTTAATACATTTAATTACAAGTAAATTTCAATATTGTATAGGCAAGGATCAATATTTGGCCTATCTGTACAGTGTATGTGGTAGGTTACCTATAGTAGTAGTGCAGGTTTATGCTGGTCAAATAGCATTCCTCTAGCCACTGCAATAGACTGGAGTCTTCAGTGAAAGGCAAAAATATGTCCATATTATAGCTATTAATTTATCAGGTTGGGTGGGGAGGGATAAACTGGGAGATTGGGATGGACATATGCACACTTCCATATATAAAATAGATAATTAATAACCTACGGTAGAGCACAGGGAAGTGAAAGTGAAAGTCGCTCAGTCATGTCCGACTCTTTGTGACCCCATGGACTATACAGTCCATGGAATTCTCCAGGCCAGAATACTGGAGTGTGTAGCCTTTCCCTTCTCCAGGGAAATCTTCCCAACCCAGGGATCGAACCCAGGGCACCCGCATTGCAGGCGGATTCTTAAACCAGCTGAGCCACAAGGGAAGCCCAAGAATACTGGAGTGGGTAGTCTATCCCATCTCCAGCAAATCAGGCAGATTCTTTACCAACTGAGCTGTGAGGGAGCACAGGGAACTAAACTCAATACTCTATAATGACCTACATGGGAATAGAATCTAAAAAAGGGTAGATATACATATGTGTATAACCGACTCACTTTTCTATACAACAGAAACTAATAGAGCATTGTAAATGAAGTATATTTCAGTAAAAAATCAATTAAAAATTTATCAGGCAAATGCATGCAGTTCATTGGCTAGAACAGTACCAGGGGGGACTTATCAGATTAAAAGAAACATACTGGGAAATTTAGAGAGATGTTCTTATTGCTCTTTGCATAGCATATAAATACCAGATATATTAGATCATAGTGGATGGGAACCAGGTTTTCCAAAACAATACTATAGTGACTCTAACTAAAGTTCTAGGACTCCAAAATGACCAAATAGTGCTTCCTTACTTAACATGTTAGAATGAGATTAGAGTCAAATCAAACCATATTTATCTTGTTTCCTTTCTGTAAACCAAAGAGGTACTGCTTGCCTATGGTCTGTATACAACAAGAGAATAGTTTCCAAGCTTACATTTTTTTTCTAAGACCTGTGGGTGATTAGACAACCCACATCTGCCAAACATGATTAATGGAAACATCTTGTAAGCAGAAGTCATGTTCTTCAAATTAGTTCTCTTCCAATTGCTAAAAAGCTTTTCTGGACCCAAGGCAAAGAACTGAAAAGGAAGGAAGAACTGAAGGAGGCTAGTTTTTTTATCCCGTCGGCACTGAGGTTCTCGGAAGTCACGTGGCCTACCTTGGCCAGGTTCTCAGTCCTGATGCACACTCCTTGCCTCCTCAAGTACTGGAGGAGGAACTGGTTGGTGGTTGGCACTGTCAGATCAAACGCCAGGACCTTCAGGAGCAGGTGTTCCATTTTCAGCAGCTGTCGTTTTGTGTAGGTGTCATCAGTTATGTAGACAAACTCGTCTACCTCGGGCGGATATATTTCTTCATATTTCCTACAAAAGGGAAAGAGAGTTTGGGAAAGTAAAGCCTGGACCCTCTGACTCTCTTTCTTGTTCTATCCCAACCAGGCTTGTCACGTGGCCCTTGTAGACTTAAGTATCACTTATGAATCATGAAATGGTACAGGTGTGAAAAAATACAGATGCTTGTTTCCATAAGAGCATGAGTATGACAAGGATATGTCATACTTACTGCTATGAGTAGTAAAGAGACAATTTTCAACTAGGGATTTTAAGTTTTGGCATCTGATAAGCTGAAAGATTATGAATGACAGACATGCGGGTAAATTCCTCTTAATTCTACAAACTTCATTTCATGGAAAAGAATTTTATGTTGAACATGATGATAGGAAAAAAAAAAAAAACACCTCCTTAGGCCTTAGATTTTTTTTTTTTTAAAGATTGTACTCAGCTTTTTCTATTGAATTAGCAAAAGATGCTATCTATCCGAGAGAGATAATGATTTCACTAGTATCAATTCTTTGCTTTTGCTTTTGTTTCTCCTTTCCACAGGGAAATTTTTGCAAAATTATAGTAGTTAATAAGTATAAAGTCTGAGACCAGAAGACTAGAAAGGAAACTACTATTCACCATCTGGTTACTTATTTAAAAGAAGCTTAGCCACAACCCCAGCACTTTTCTACACAAATAAGGCTTCCCTGTTGGCTCAGATGGTAAACAATCTGCTTTCAATGCAGGAGACCCAGATTCGATCCCTGGGTTAGGAAGACCCCCTGGAGAAGGGAATGGCTACCCACTTCAGTGTTCTTGCCTGAGGATCCCGTGGACAGAGGAGCCTGGTGGGCCACAGTGCTTGGGGTCACAAAGAGTTGGACACAACTAACACTTTCACTTTTAGCCACAACCCAGACCTTTTCTACACAAACAGATATTTTTATGAACGACTGATAGTAACAGGAATTAGCTAAAATAGTTTATTCACTGTAACCAAATAAACTGGGTTATTATGAGTCACTTACTAGAGCCTGGAGAAGGCTTTCATAAACCCAAATTTCTTTAAATAGGGCTTTTACTCACAGTAGAATACAGCCAAAAGACTATACTACAAAATAATTAAACTAGATTCTGAATTTGAGCTGATGGTTGCCTTAGTCATGATACTGAACTTGTCGTTGCTGCTGCTGCTGCTGTCGCTTCAGTCGTGTCCGACTCTGTGCGACCTCATAGACGGCAGCCCACCAGGCTTCCCCGTCCCTGGGATTCTCCAGGCAAGAACACTGGAGTGGGTTGACATTTCCTTCTCTAATGCATGAAAGTGAAAAGTGAAAGTGAAGTCGCTAAGTCGTGTCTGACTCTTAGCGACCCCATGGACTGCAGCCTAGCAGGCTCCTCCGTCCATGGGATTTTCCAGGCAAGAGTACTGGAGTGGGTTGCCATTGCCTCCTCCTGAACTTGTAGTTAAGAGGATCTTAAACATCCAAATTGAAGAGTGAACATGTGGTGAGATTCAGTTTCTCAGTAAACACTGTAAAAATAATGATATTTTATGAAAGGAGGCATGTGTAAGTTTTAATTATCAAGCACTGTATTTCTTCAATAAATGGGAACAGAAATCAAGTGTTTAGACAGGTTGACATTTCATGTTATTTGAGCTGAAGGACTTACGAAGCCAGGAGAATAGCTGCTGTTCCTACAAGCTGCAGTTTCCCTCTAAGAACAGACATGCAGGAAAGAAACCTGTCCAGGAAGTTGACAGCCAGGTAGAGGGTCTCTGCCCGGAGCTTGTATTCTTCTCCAACCTCAACCAGCCAGTCCACCAGAATGGTCCGCATGCTTTCTGTGATGTCTGGCTGTTTCCTCATGTAGTGTGCCTTGGGCCTGTGTCTTTTCTGTTTGGGGAGAGAGTTTTTTTGATGTTTAAATACCTGTTATCTTAGAAGGATCACTCCACAGTACAGCTGGTATTTTTAAAAAGCTCATGGGCAAAGGTTAGCAGGAAACTCAGTCAAACGCCAGAGGAATCTGTACATCATGATATGGAACAAGTGTGCAATTCTGGCTCTGTGATGCAATTTAGTTAATGAGTAACTTCAAGGAGGGGGGACATGGCAATAATGGTTCTTCCCAAGAGTGAAATACTTAATATACAAACCCTTCTGAGACATAGAGAAATAGTCCAAGTAACTGCTAGTCACCATACCCAACTATTATTTTTCATAAACGTTCTCTAGTTTAGATGTCACAAGAATGCCATTTGCTAGTGGTCATGGCCAAGAGCACATAACTATCTTAATACAGAGTGCTTGGGGTGCTGGAAATTGAAGGAGAAGTTGGGAAAACTCACTTCAGCTTCTCTAAGGTACTGATGAATTTCCTCAGCATATTCAGTCACATTTATCACATCTGTACCAAAATCTGATGCATCTTCAGACTGGGAGTGGAGAGATGAATCTACCAGCATAGGGGAAACTGCAGGGGGTTCAACATTATCAGGTAAGACATTTCATTTCACAACTAGTTCCATCCACTAACCCTCTACAGGCAGCTGGGAAAACAGTTACTACTCCAGGGAGTTCTCTTGCTAGTTCTATGCTACTGAACACTGCAGGCGGTGACAAAGACAGGGTGCTGTCAGCCATGGGTGAGTCCCATTACCTGTGTTAAAATCCAACAGGAAGTGAAGGTCTGACTTGAGTCCACTGGTGTCTACTTCATACGCATCCTCTAATGCCATCCCCTTTCGCCCTGGGCAGCTATCTCTGGTCCCCTGCTCAGGCTCATCCATGTAGATGTCAAATCCTTGCTTGGCAGGTGCCTGGACCCTGCTGTCAGACAACGCTTTCTTTCCAGCTGGAGGGAAGACATTTTCTGAGCCAGACAAACACCTGAGTGTGGTGAGCCCCTAGAAAAGGAAGAATTTTTGTGTTAGAGGCTTACCCCAGAGCCCACATAGGTGCTAAGAACCCATGTGACTCACACCAGCAGGCTGGAAAGATGAGAGGAATCTGAATTTGAAATATCTATGTCTGCAATTGAATTTCAGAACCTGAAGCTTCCAAAGGATTATTTTGCCCTTATCTTTGTCTATATGTGACATCTGGGGAAGAAGCTAGCCTAAAATTTGTCATCTTCCTCACGTATTTATCAAAGGAATGCAAAATTATAGAAAAAAAGAAAAACTCCTCCAAAGTGAACTAGGTACCACATATTGGGGGGTGGGGGGGGGGACTGTAAATCAGCTTTTGTGCTTGTAGCATGCCAGGTTTTTATAACAACCCAGCAAGGTTCTTGAAACATAGTTACAGAATCCTCCTTAAAGTCAACTTTTAGTCAACAGGCTCCTGGAAAGTTCCCATTTATACACAGTTATTCAGAAACACGATGCTTTTAGAAATGTGTACTAAGAGTTAATTCTCTTACAAGTTATGGAACACTATTATATGACATAATGAGAAAGAGAAATGAAATTCTAGACATTTTTAAAAGTACAATTGACAGCATTTTCTCAGCAAATTAGATGTGGGGTGGGAGAAAAAGAAGAGCCAAGGATGACAACGTTTTGGGGTTAAATAACGAGAAGAATGGATATTCTACTTACTGAAATGAGGAAGACTTTGGGAAGAGCAGCTTGGGGCTGGAGTCAGTGTTTGGTTTCACCTAAGTCTGAGATGCCTACTGCATGATCCCAGTGGAGATGTCAAGTAGATAGCTAACTTGAGCTTGAAACTTAGCTGAGAGTTCCAGACCAGAGACAGAAAAAGGAATCATCAACAGAAAGATGGTATTTGTTGCCAGGAGACTTGAACAGATTGTGAAGGGAGTGAGTGCCAATTCAGATCAAATACTAAGCTTTAGCACACTCTAACTTTCAGATAGTGGATGAAGAAGAACCAAGATAATGAGGTGTGACCAGTGAGCGAGATGAGAAACCAGAAGAGAGCTATGTTCTCTGGGCTAAGTCAGAAGAAACTACTTTAAGGAAGAGAGAATGACCAACAATGTCAAACGGTGCCTTTCAGACAGGTAAGGAAAGCATTACGAACTGAGTAAAAGAGAGGGACTTCCCAGGTGGGTCCAGTGGCTAAGACTCTGCACTCCCAATGCAGGGGACCTGGATTCAATCCCTGGTCAGGAAACTAGATCCTGCATGCCTCAGCTAAGAGCTTGCATGCTGTAACTGAAGAACCTGCATGCTGCAACTAAGACCCATTGCAGCCAAATAGATAATAATTTTTAAACAAATATTTACAACTTTAAATAAGAATGGAGCCAGAGAGAACGAAAGAAGAAATCGAGATAGAGTATTGTTTAACAAATACTTGCATGCTACCTTGGCCAGGCATGGTTTTTCTAAACATTGGGAGTATAGCAGAAAACCTGACATCTCAAATCCTCATCCTGATAGAGTTTACAGTAGAAAAATTCTCAAGAAATACTGCCATAAATGGGACAGTTGCTGTAAAGAGCTTTGTAGTTGAAAGGTTTTTAAGATTGGAAAAAAAAAAAAAAATCACAATATATTTGCACTTGGGTTTGACCCAGTAGAGAAGAGAAAACTAAGAAGAGAAAGAAGAGGTGATGGAATGATATCCTTGAAGAGGCAAGAGGGCATCAGGTGTGCCTCGCACATGGGGGTGCACCTTGCACAAGAGCAGGAACACATAGGTCACGTAGCAGGAGGAGGGCGGCGGGTGTATGACACATGGGGGCATGTGGAAATTCTTACAGTTGCATCTATATTTTTAGGAAAATAGGATATAAAGTTATAAGCTGAGAGGCCGGACGGAGATAGAGGCTTTGGAGGATAAAGAGAGAAGGGAAAGTATAAAATAAAAGATTTCTATAAGACAGTTGTAGAGGAATAGAACCAGGAAATGTAGAGGTAGCACCAAGCAACATAGAGGTTAACTAACAGTTATGAATTTAAAGTGAAACCACTAAACACAGGGTTAACTGCCGATTCATGAGAGGTTTTAGACTTTGTGTTTTAATTATTTATTTTTAATTGGAGGATATTTGCTTTCCAGTTTGTGTTGGTTTCTGCCATACATCAACATGAATCAGCCACGGGCATACATATGTCCCCTCCCTCCTACCTCCCACCTCATCCCACCCCGCTAGATTGTCACAGTGTACTGAGTTTGAGCTCCCTGCGTCACACAGTGAATTCCCACCAGCTCTCTGTTTTACATATGGTAATGTACATGTTTCAATGCTACTCTTTCTATTCATCCCACTCTTTCCTTCCCCCACTGTGTTAGACTTCATGTTTAAAGAAGTACACCACGTCGCTAAGCAAATTGTTGGTTAAAACCACCTTTACTCCGTTTTTTTCCAAAGCTTGAAACAGATTACTTTGGGTAATTTTCTCCCACTAACCAGATGCCACCAAAACACAAATGACTTGTGTCATTGTGTAGAAGGGGAGTAGGAGTAGTCAGTAGATGAGGAGAAGCTTCTGATCTGGCCTCCATCATGACTTTTATTTGGGTGGGAAAGCTTTCTCAAACCTCTCAATTTTTCTCACCTATAAAATGGAAAGGATACCTGCCCACCTACTCCACTATACTACTGCCAATGTCCTTCCGCTATAGATATACAAGCTTATGAGAAGCTGGTGTAATAACAGACTTGAGGAAGCTTTTTTGTTTTTTTAATCTCAAAATTCATTCTTAAAGATACAAACTCCTTATTTGCATTTTAAGTGTTGAATTTATTTACCCTCTGTTTACATTCTGTTAAGGGAGGTACCTATGATTAATTAAGCACAAGCAACTGGACATCAGATGGCCCACGATCTTTTGCCCAACTGTCCATGATCCTGAGGAGAAGCTGCCTTTCAAAGCACACATTTGGAAGTAATCTAGTATACTGTGATTCAGTCCTTATTCTAACACCATCACTAATGAACTTAAAGGTTATCGGAGATGCTTCAGGCACAGCCTAGGTCAATCTGAATACCATTCTGATCTAGAGAAACACCAGTACCACAAGTTTACTTTGGAGAAAGAAATCAAAACCCACTCCAGTATTCTTGTCTGGGAAATTCCATGGATAAAGAAGCTTGGCAGGCTACAGTCCATGGCGTTGCAAAGAGTCAGACACAACTTAGCAACTGAACAACAGTTTATTTTGGTGCATTCACAATTTCCTTTTAGCCCAGAACTTAAGTGCTTTCCTGGTGGCTCAGAGGGTAAAGCATCTGCCTGCAATGTGGGAGACCCAGGTTCAATCCCTGGGTCGGGAAGATCCCCTGGAGAAGGAAATGGCCACCCACTCCAGTATTCTTGCCTGGAGAATCCCATGTATGGAGGAGTCTGGTAGGCTACAGTCCACAGGGTCACAAAGAGTCGGACACAACTGAGCGACTTCACTTTCACTTTCTTTTAAGTGACTTTACACATACTTGACTTACACAGTTCCTAATAACAAAGAAAATTATTTAATATTGCTAGCTGAAAAAGGGACCTGACAAAGTGCTCTTTTAAAAAATCAGTGCCCCTATAGGCCAGATTCCAGGGCTGAATACTCAAGGGGAGTTTGTGCAGAAAATCTCAAGAGATCCCACTTCCCACCAAGACACGAGGGCCTTCCCAGCTCTTCTCAGGCATTACCTGGCCACAGGTCCTCCTGTACTGCCCATTCTCAGTTAGCATTCCTAGTACTGTTCTTTGTGGTGGATCCTGGCCAAACTGGCCTCTGGTTATCATCTGACAGGCATCAGGACCTCCGGACACTGGAGCCAGCGCTACTCCACTCTTGGAGCTGCTGAGATGCATAGCCTCAGTCTCCACAGCTTACTGCTGTCAAGGAAGGAGAAACAGACAAGCCAGTTAGTCAGCCTCTTCCACCAAGGATCCAAGGATGCTGAGACTCTGTAGAAGACAGAGCCCTGTGACACATGATCTTCCTTGCAGTTATTAGGGTTGAAAGGGCCTGAGCCACAGTGCAAGTGATCAAAGCCACTTTGAATCAAAACGGTGATTTGAATCTCTCCAGCCTTCCTTCCAATACCTGGCTGATGGCTGGAAAGGGAATATGACAAACCTCTAAGCCAAGACACTAACCCCCACATTAGCGGGGAGTCCAAACCTACAAGCCCGTGTCTTTCCTAGCTGTGATGCTTATCCATCACTCCACCACCCCCTTCCCTGCAAACCAGTGACCCAGGATACATCACTGTCGGAAAGTACGTCCCCTTCTCAAGTGACAAGCAGAGTGCTCTTCTGCGGCCTTTCTCCCACAAGACAGAAGGCCCCAAAATCTGCTTGGAACCCACAGCGGACCTCGCTCTTCTCAGTCTTATCTCTTTACACATAAGTCTCGAACAATTAGCAAATGCACACGAGGCTGGGAATAAGGGTCCACTGAAGGGGGCGGGGCGGGGGCGGGGGCGGGGCGGGGCTGAAGGGGACGGAGGTGTTAATAGATTCTAGCCGGGGCGCCGGGCTCCCAGCGTCTGCGGCCCAGCTCAGAGCTAATTACTTTCAACTCCCCCCGCCCCCCGCCGGCCCCCCCGCGTCTGTTGAATGGGCCAATCAGCGCAGCTCCCGGGCGTCGCGGGGGCCGTTTCCATGCCAACCGCAGGGGGGCGTGCGCGCTCCGCGGCCGCATCTCTATGGCGACCTCCTCACCCGACACGCTCCGAGAGGACGCACCGCGACCCCTGGGCGTTCAGGGCCGGGTGGGGCCAACTGGCGGCGGCCCTGGGCCCCTCCTAAGCGGCCCTGCCCGGGCGTGCCCGGGCGGGCGGCCGCGGTGGGCGCCCACGGCCCCCGTGTGACAGGTGTCTGTAAAGGAGGAAGAAGGCCCGCCCCGCAATGACCGGGGTTTGAAAGGGACTGTTTTTACTTGAACCGGTCCCCCCAACAGCCGCTAACTCCTCCCGCTAACGTCTTTTCCGCGGCCCGCTCCTGAGAACCTTGGCCCGGGAGGGCGACGCGGGCCCTCGGGGCTGCTGAGGCCGCGGCGCCTTGACCGCGCCAGACAGACAGCGCGGCTCACTCCCCTTTCCCCGATCACACACCTAAGCCTGCTCCCAGGAGAGGCCCAGTGGCAGAGAGCGGGCCTCTGGTTGGAGTCGCGGCTTCCTAGTCCGTGGTGGCGGCGTGTCTTCGGTCATTTTGGGTCCTTGCGTACCGGAGGCCACGCCTGGCCGACCTGGGTTCGGGTGCATGTAACCCGGCAGGGCGGGAGAGGAGACCCGGGGTTTTATGGTCGCACGTGGTGCTCTCAGTCCCCAGGAAAGAGACCTTCCTCGACGGTTCCGGCAGCCCCAGCGTGAAGCTGGCCCAGGAAGAGGAAGGAACGCGAGTGGCAGCGATGGGGTCTGGGACGTTGAGGGGGAATAGCGGGAAGGCTGGGAACTAGGGACTGGGCAGGTGGCCTGGCCACGTGGGAAGGGAATCCTTAGGTCCGGGGTCCGGGGTTCGTGGCCAGGTAAGGTGGAAGCAGGGGGCCTAGTTTGGGGGTAAGAGGTGAGGGTAGGGAGAAAGGGGCCTTGGAAACGCAGGAAGGGAAGAGGGGTCCTTGGAAACTAGGGAGCACTGGAATTTGCAGAGGTAACTAGCGAGCCAGGTATAAGAATTTTTACCTTTATTATTTTTTGAAAATGTTCTTGTGCACACACACACATGTTATATATATGTTACTGTTTTTGTCTTTTTAATTTTTAAATTCCCATCCCTAAGTTCCCATCCATAAAACAGATTATGGAAACCATTCAAATGGTCGTTTTAAGAACTGTTTAGTTATTGCCTTCTTCCTTGTTTTGAATGAAAATAATTGCTAATCTTACACCTATCCCAATTTTTTCTTAAGTATTCTTTATTAATGGGTTCACCCAGTAATCTGTGTGTACATTAAAGTATTCTACAGGAAGTGAGGAAGAAAGCTATTGAGTCAGGTGTTGAGTCAGGTGTTAAGATGCAGTTCAGAGTCCTGGATGCCCAAGGAAAGTAGAAATGGATTTTAATGTGAAACTAACTTCTATATGTATATTACCCACTTTCATTCATTGATGAATGATGAATGAAGCAGTGATCCCTTTGCATCCTGGAATTCCTGTGCCTTCGGATATGAAAGCAACACAGGAGCTCTGATAACTTAAATTGTGGCAACATATGTAGGTAGGCCCCAAATGCTTGGTTTTGCAAGGTGCTGCTATCTGGTGAGGAAAAGAGCCTTACTGCCCCCTTCTCATCTGGTGCTGCTTTTGGAAGTCTTCTGGGGAGGCTTCCACCATCTGACCACACTGTTGTGACTTCTGGGGATTCTGAAGGCATCAGGGGTGGACTCTGTTAGGGACTCAGGAGCAGGTCTTGCCAAGAGCCAGGGTTACTTTGGCAGGAGCTAGAGGCTCAAATGGCAGAGAATCTTCCTGTAATGCTGGAGACCCGGTTTGAGCCTTGGGTTGAGCCCTGGGTTGGGAAGATCCCCTGGAGAAGTGAATGGCTACCCACTTCAGTATTCTTGCCTAGAGAATTCCATGGACAGAGGAGCCTGGTGGACGCAAAGAGTTGGACACAACTGAGTGCCTTTCATTTTCACTTCCATGCCCTCCTGTGACCTGATGCTCTGTACATCCCTTTTGATGTGATTTACTCAAAGAAAGTGACCAGAAACCTCATACTCATCCTTTCTTCCAAAACAGAAGGAGCCAGTGCAATGTTTGTTCCTGGGGCCTATCGTTTTGATCCTCTTCTCTGAGACTGGAGCTCAAGTGGGAAAAGGTAGCGCTGGCCCCCGGCAGAGGCAGGTCTTTGAAATTGGTTATCCTGACTCACACATCTGGTCAGGACCAGTGGAGGAGGCCACTAAGGGGGTTTGTGCCTCTCAGCTGTCTCTAGTCCAAAAAATACCTTTTAAAGAGAAAAGAACTCTTAACCAGATGAGACCCTCTGATTATTTCACACCCATCTTCCCCCACCCCTTCTCGTGTGAATTTTGTGGTTGTTGCTGTTCAGTGTCTTAGTCGTGTCCGAGCATTTTCAACCCCATGGACTGCAACATGCCTGGTTTCCGTCCTTCACCAACTCCTGGAGTTTGCTCAAGTGAATAGCTGCAGCCTAATCCAACCTTAATGCATATGAAATATTATCATTACATATTACCATCTTTCTTCTTTCTCCATCCACTTTGTTAAACTTGACAAACAGCACCAATATGTGGCTTATGAGTTTATTGTACTGCCTTCGAATTCAGTATTAAATCATTACAGTTCTCTGGTGAGATCTTAAATTGTAGAGTAATTGAGGTGAACTTTATGCATTTTTAAAATATGTGTGCACTTATAAATTCAGATATTTATATAACTTGCACAATACTTATGGCTTTCCTGGGTTAAAAAAAAATCATCATTAAATATTTGAACTAGTAATGATTCATGGCATTAAAAACAAACTCAACTAGTAAGATCACAATTTTTATAAAAAATGTAAATGGAAAGCTTGGCCTTGTAATTAGGAAAAATTGGAGCGGAGAGAATACAAACGACTTCCTCACAAATTATGCATTTTTAGTGAGACTCATTATTTTGCTATTAGTGTAGCAAAATCAGGATTAGAAATCAAAGTTGAGTAGATTTTTCAAGGTCTACATGTTTTACATAACCTATCTGTTAATATATTGAGAAGTGAACAATACATTTTATTATAAATACATCTTTAATGTCTAAAATATTTGGTATAGCTTATATGCTAATATAACACTTTCTTAGCTCAACAAATGATTTGGTCAGCACTTCCTGCCTGATATTCAGTGCTCAGCTGTTTTGGATGCTAGGGTTAATTTCCATAAAATAAGGATGACAGTTGAATTATTTACTAGGGATTTTTAAAACCTCAAAGTTCTATTAAAACTGACTCCTCCCTGTTCCAAATTTTAATTCAAAGACAGTCTTTTCTGTTTGCCAGCAATTACCTGGCAGTTCTGAAGCTGTTATTATGTCTATCCCATTTGCTCATTGTAGCTAGTAATTAACCTCCTGTTCAAACATTTCAGTTTTCATTAATTTGTATGAAATGAAGTTGATTTTCAGCATAGGGATGGAAAAGAGATGAAAAAGTAGAAGAGCCAATTTTATTTTAAGGACCGAGGTCCTTTTAAGGACATATTTTACCTGTTCACAAACATGCCTTTGCCATTCTCAGTATACATTTAAATTTAGAACATGTCTATGTTGTAAGATGAGGGACAGATGTTGGGGATGACAGGAGATTTGTGATATTCTAGCCCACTTGACCAAAGGATCAAGTGAGTCCAGTTTGAGAAGCAACCAAAAATTTACCGCCTTAGGAAGCATATATTCTTGGGTGGTACAAAGTGGACCTCTTAATACATGACATGATGTATGTATGTTTGTAAAGTCACTTTCTCTGAATAAAAGCAGTTTGAACACATACGTGAAAGTAGCCAAAGTCTACTATTCATTCATTCATTTGGGGCGGGGGGGGTGGTTCCCTGGTGGCTTAGCTGGTGAAGAATCTGCTCACAATGCGGCAGACCTGGGTTTGATCGCCGGGTTGGGAGGATACCCTGGAGGAGGGCATGACGACCAACTCCAGTATTCTTGCCTGGACAAGCCCCATGGACAGAAATGCCTGGCGGGTTACAGTCCATGGTGTTGCAAAGAGTCAGACGAGACTGAGTGATTAAGCACAGCACAGCACAGTTGATTTACAATATTGAGATCTGGGTTCGATCCTTGGATAGGGAAGATCCCCTAGAGAAGGGAACGGCTACCCACTCCAGTATCCAGGCCTGGAGAATTCCATGGACTGTATAGTCCATGGGGTTGCAAAGAGTTGACGATGACTGAGCGACTTTCACTTTCACTTTCTTTCCCACACCATTGTCTCCTGAAGGTTGAAGGAACTTCCCTGCACTGCATGCTAAGTTACTTGTCATGTCCGACTGTCTGTGACCCCATGGACTGTAGCCTGCCAGGTTCCTCTGTCCATGGGATTCTCCAGGCAAGAATACTAGAGTGGGTTGCCATGCCCTCCTCCAGGAGATCTTCCCAACCCAGGGATTGAACCTGCATCTCCTGCAGCTACTGCATTGCAGGCTGATTCTTTACCACTGAGCCACTCCCCCACCCAAACCTCTCAAAGCAGCACCCCAATAAAGCTCATTGTATGTTACTGCCACCATGTGGTTATATTTTTCCCCTACTCTTCCCAATCCTTTAACTCATGTGTCCAAGAGAGAAAAATTTCTTAAAATTGCTTTCTCAAGCCTCTGTGTTTGTTTCTTCTTTTTTAGTAACTTCAGAGTTTGGCACTAACTGAAAAATTTCTTAGACTTGGAAAGCTGGAAGAGGACTTGGAAGTTATTTCATTAAATCCTGTGTTACACAGATGAGGACATGGATTCAGACTTCTCTCTCTTTCCAAATTCAGCTCCTGAAAATGAAATTTCAGAAATAAATCAACACATATGATGTCCAATTCCAGGATTTACCTACGAAAGTGGCCATAAG